AGCGATTTGCAATTACCGATTGCTTTTTCATAATTAAGTTAAAAAAATATTTAAATTCGATGCTGGTTGTAATGGGAATTAAACCCTGACCCTCTGGAAATTAGCAAATTGTGGCAAGCATCCTCGCGCACTCAGGTACTGCCAGACATGTAAATGTGCATTTAAATGTTGAGTTTGAATCAACACCACGCGTGCGTGTTATGAAAGTATTATTTTTATATACCAACATTTTTAAACGATAATCAAATATGTAGAAAATATTCATGTTTACTATGCGTTATTTCCCTCAATGAATTCATAAAATTTTTCTGAATATTACAACGCGTTTTTTCTCTTAGTGTAGTGATTTTTGAGCTTTTATTCAAATTTGTGCAATCAAATAAAAAACTGGGACACTAAAACGAAACCCGGGACATTTTAAGGTTGGACCGGGACACGGGGACAAATAGTCTAAAACCGGGTCATGTCCGGGAAAACCGGGACGTCTGGCAGCCCTATCTCTACTACTCGTTATATTATATTCGCGATTTACGTATACGTTTTACGTGCTTGCATGTAATTCTAAAACGTTTAGTAGATTAGTTGAACAAGTTTACAATTTTACGTTTGGCAAACCGTTCCCGTCGTTTGTTGAAAATTGTGCAATTTTTTCCGTTTAACACAATTTCTCATTTAAAACTGCTATCACAAATGTTCGCCACTACACGTTTCGCGAACGTTTGCAAACCGCCTTGAAAATGCGTGTAAGCACAAATTCCGATTTAGTTTTACGTATTTCCCCACGTAAACGTGAGCCGTCTCACTTCTGACCTGTAAGCTTCGCTGTAAGCTTCGAGCTAGAAATTATTTATTTTAATTATGAAAAGCTTTATTTAGAAGTATTTAATATAAATATTAATAAAATGTTCCAAAGTTCATTTTTAAACAGAGATCGAAAATAACCATCACCAAGTGTCTTGTACGGTGTTTACCACTGACATAAGCACTCATCTCTCAAGCAAAGACTGTTTCTCACCGTGGCATATCACTCTGTGCGATCTTTTTGTGTTTTCCGTTGTGGGTTATTTATCAACTGCTAAAATTTCCCTTAGGCAAAGACACTTTGGCAGGGACTTTTATATTTAAGTGTCTTAATTTGTGGGTTATTGTAAGACTGAAAAATATAAGTGGGCGTACATAAGTGGAAGCAAAGCGTTAGGCGTTTCTTTACACGACATAAATATACATACGTACACATACATATGCAAACATTTATGACAAAGAAGAGAGCGTGCACATTCATAATATGATACACCGAAAATAAGTTATTTTATTTTATTGATAAAGAAAAGGTTAAAGGCAAAGGTAAAAATAAAAACAAAAACAAATATGCGCAAAGATAAATGCAAAAATTAAGGGCCTTTTTCTGTATCACGAACGATTCGTCTGCAGACGACAACCTCTCTGATTGCGATTTTGAACTCGATCGGTCGTCTTCGTCTTGCTTTTCATACATTACGTTGCAATGGTCCCGGTTGCGTTTAAACCGGCTAAAATGATTCCACCGGACTAATTTTTGAAGCATTCCTCTGCAGACGAATCGTTCGTGTTGTCTATCGCTCGTGATACGGAATAAGGCTGTAAGATCAAAAATTTAAAAATTTTACTAATATAAGGGCAAAGGTGAAGGGGAATATGTACATAGATATAGAAAATGATAAACATAAAGATGATAAAGCTAAATATTAAGAAAAAGATAAGGATGAGTAAAAATGAAGATAAAGGAAAAAAGATTAAAATAAAAGTAATTACATATAAAGAAAATGATATAGAGTCACAGAGACTCAACCAGGGAACTATTTCGAGATTTTCGGTATTCTCGGGACCTATCGATATAATAATCGACATTTTTATCGAGTTTGTTACGATTTGGGTATCGATATTTTAATCGGTTTTGTTATCGATAATGTTATCACTTTGTTATCATTACTTTTATCAAGTTTGTTATCGATTTGGGTATCGATTTTCTTATCGAAATTTTTATCGATTTGGGCATCGATTTTATTATCGATATTTTAATAGATTTTTTATCGATTTTGTTATCGATTTGGGTATCGATTGGCAAATTTGATATGTTTCTACGCAATTCTACGGTACCCTGCGTACACGTTTGTGGGTAACCGCGCTCTAATACTTATTTTTTCTCTTCCAGCGATAAGTGTCCGTGTCCAACAGCAACGGAAAAAGATATCCAAATAACCCTTTCCCACTGAGAGGGGCACACATCTACAAAAAGAAACCACCTGTTCTGTTTTGTGGGTTATGTTTTCTCTTAAATAGTGACGGTTATTTTCGGACACTTTCAAAGTGGAGAGGAATATTTTCGACCTCTGTTTTTAAACGATCTGTTCTCTCCGGCGGTCAGGATGATACTACTCGTAGCTCATCATAAGAGTTGTCGTTTGATATTTAAAATAGTTCGTTAAGCCAGGGTTACCTTACACTAGCCATTGAGGGTCTCACCTTTAAGCTATCGCAGATTATATTTTAATAACAACCCCCACCCCCGCGAAATCCTGGCTACGCCACTGAAGGTATGTCACTCGTTACTCATCCGTAAACTTGACCTAATCGGCTTTCAGCCCTGTCTTCCCCAATGGATCTCTTGTTACCACTCTGACAGAACACAAAGAGTTATTGTTAATAATTGTTCTTCCAACATCATTAAAGTTTCTTCAGGAGTTCCTCAGGGAAGCCACCTTGGTCCGATTCTGTTCCTGATATTCATTAATGATATTTCTTCTGTATTAAAATATTCAAAAATTTTAATGTATGCCGGTGATATGAAACTTTTCAAAACATTGTCCTCTATCGAAGAAAGGTCTTTGTTACAGGCAGATCTGAGCAACGTGGTTAGTTGGTGTAGTGCAAATTATATGCCACTTAACCTTAACAAATGTAAAGTTATGTGTTTCTCTCGAAGGACAGTTCAACCAGCTGTTTATTGAATTTCAATTATAATCTGGAGCAGGCATCCAATCTTGTCAATCTTGGTATCACAATGGATTCCAAACTCAATTCCAACTTTCATATTAATATTACAGTCAATAAAGCCAAAGGCGTTTTTGCATTTGTAAAGCGATGGTCTAAAAATTTCAAAGATCATATTCAAAAATTTTTATTGAGCTTGAGGCCGTTTTTAATGAAAAACTTATTATGAATATGCTCACATGCTCATGAATCAACCCATTGTTCACTCAAACTTGCTCTCACTAAAAAATATTACTCTCTCACAATTGCTTGGCTTGCATGAATATCTTTCACAATCTCTGATCGCTTCCACTTGGCTTGGCTTGCTTCTCTTTATGCAATTGTTTGAGAGATTCATTGTATACCGCTAGATGACTTAAGTGGCTCATTCATATTCATAAACACATACAGAAATTCAGCGCCTCTGCGGTTTTGCTTTGCGCGCAAGACCATTTGCGACGTTGAATACATGCAGGCATGTGAAAAATGATAACGGATGACATTTTGACCAGCTTTGACATTTTTTGTTTGTTTAGTGTTTATTAATTTAAAAAAAATACAGCTCATTATCTCACATAAACCATATATGTCGAAATTTTAAACTTTGTAGAAAAATTAAGAAAATTAAATTATTAAATTATATTATAGCTAAGAAAGTAAAAGTCTAATTTGGCTAAGAATTCGCGTTGATTTTTGATAACTTTTTTTTGGGGGATGGTGTTATTAAAATAAATAAAAATAATATGAAAAATCAACGCGAATCTTAACAAATTGAATTTTGCTGTTCCTTAATCTTGAATTTAATAGGCTAAAAATCTGCATACTTAGAAATTCCTATTAAAACGTTTTTTGTTGTTGTAAAAATTTTTCTGCTTTTCTGCAAAGTTTGAAATTTGGACTTATATGGTTTTTGTTGGATAATGGGCTATATTTATATAAAAAAAAAAATAAAAATTTAACCAACAAAAGAAATATAGCCAAAACTGGTCAAAATGTCGTGTCCTAATTGTTTTTCACATGACTATATCGAGCTCTAACCGTATAGATACCTCCGGCTAAGAATATTAGATTGAGACAAAACTTGCGCTGATTCGTCTAAAATAAGGTAAAAATTATTTTCTTGTAATTTTCGGTAGAATATATCCTTCTGTAAACA